GCGAATATTTTTCACACAATAAAAAAGGAGATTAATAGGGATACTTACTGCGATTTTTTCTTGTTCTTTTTCCTTTCTCTAAATGTTGTTTTGAGTTCTTTTTAGGCTCACACTCTTTGAGTGACTGTTCCTTCTGATGAGAGAGTCCTCCGGGGACTGTCAGAGCTGAGACACTCTTTCAGAAAACTCAAAAAAGTTAAATACTAGTACTTTATTTTAATAATTAATTTACGGCAAAATTGCATTTTTAGTCCTGTTAGTTTAACGTTGTACTATTTTTTGTCCTAAGATTTTTATTTTGTTATCTTTTGATCCTGTAATTTATTATTTTACTGCAATTTCAGTAATTTGGGACTGAGATTGCACCAAAATTTAAAATTATATGACTTAAATTGCTAATCAAATTCCATCCAAAAGTTTTTTCATTAATAATTTAAGTTATGTAATTTTAATTTTTGTTGTATTTTGGATCCTCAATGACTGAAATTGCGTTGAATTTTAAAATCATATGATCAAATAGCAAAAAATGTTCAATTCGTAAGACTAAAAATGTCACTGGATCAAATAACACTAGTACGTACCCCGTGCGATGCACGGGACAAAGATATTAAATGAGTTTTTTTCACAGCCTTGTCCGTTTAAGTCTAAAAAGTAATAATTCTTTTAATCAACATTAAGTCTAAAAAATTATTAAGCCGTCCTCTGACAAATATGTATGGAGTTATGTGTTCGTATCTCATAAGTCACAAACATTATGAATAACATTACAAATTATTCACTCAAAATTTTATTCATTGCAGATATATTAAAATAGTTTATATAACAACCATTAAATACCACTTTTAATATATTTATAAATAAAAAGTACATAAAGTTTCTAGTGTGTTCAAATTTAAATAATTTTTTATGGGCACAATTTTAAATCATCCAAACATTTGGTCAAACGCATAGGTGCGTTCAAATTTAAATTATTGGCATTTTGGTCGGTTGAAATTTAAATAATTTATCATGGTACTGTGATGTGTATTATATATATATATATATATATACAATTTTTTAACAAATAATATGTGCTTTATAAAAATAATAATAATAATTTCACATGATTTTAAACGTAAAATTTGGTTTTTAATCAAAATAGAAAAATCATAGTAAGTTGTATCGAAAAGGTGTTATGAGA